TCATGTCTAAGGTGACCTTCTTATTTTGTTACCAAGGATAGTGTACAATCCGCTGAACCTGTTAAAAATACACAACCAAGTACCACAAATGGAGGCGGCAAAGACAAGCAATACAAAGCAAAGAGTAATACAAAGACTGGACGCACCGCAAAGAATTTTGGAGGCCTCAAATCCGGTTTTCTTTTGTAATGCTGTGTATCTGCCACAATTAACAAAATACTTTACCGATTTTCAGCTTTGAATTTAAACCTTTTTAATTTTTTTGCTATATAAAGAAAAAAAAAGACAAAAAAAAGCCAAAAACGAAAAAAAAATTTTTTTTTGTTTTTTTAAGAAATTTGTCGGCATCAGAAAAGAGAGACAGGAACTTGATTTCATAAGAGATTTCCTAAGCAAAATATAAAATATACATTTACAAACAAAGTTAAAAAAGATGTTGAAAGAGGAAGAAGAGTAAGAATTATAAAAGGAACGTGTGATTAGAAATTTTTCGCGATGACAACGTTGCACAAAACAAAAATTTAAAAAGTTTAAAAACAACACGAAAAAATATAAAAGTAAAAAAGTAATGAAAGAATTGCACGACAAGGAGAAGAAATGTAAAGATGAAAAAAAAAATTGTTCGAGAAAGAAAGCAATATATACATGAAACTTATTAACAAAATACTTTGAAAATACAAATACAAAAAGATATAATGAAAAACATGAAATAAAAGGTAAAGTTTACAAATAAATTTTTGTCACGTTATTAAAAAGAATTTTTTTTTAATTTACATAGTTGGTTTGGACTGAAATTTACCCGCGAACTGTATATTTTCATCTCAGGGACACGTCATTATTTTTCGTACGTAGGGGGGGAAGTGGGAAGGGCGAAGGGAAGAGAGAGGAGTTGGAGGATTTTGCATGTGTCACAATTCAATTAACTTGATCCTCCGATAAGGCTCTGTTATATTCATATGATCCCCCCTGACTGCAGGACTGCAGTTAATTGGCAGTCATTTATCTATGATTTGCCCTTTGCCATCTGATGGCGACGAATAACCCCTTCGTTCCCCCTGAAAACCGTGTGATCCTCACCAAAATCCTCCCCTCCCCCGTATAAATTATGACTGGTCCCTTAAATTACATCTCAGTACTAACAAAACGGGAAAGAAAACGACGAACTTCTGAAAAAAATGTTTGGAAGGCGCTTTAGAAAGACTTCAAAACCTCAAAAGTGATCTGGATTGGCAGACATCGTTGTGGGGTTACTTGAATGTTCCCTAGCTAGAGTTTTTCCTCTTTGAATCTCCCTCAATTTTTAACCCATACCTCCTGTCTGGAGATTTGTCGGCGTGGTCAAGAGATCATGCCGTGAAACTCCCGTTCACTTCCGCTTCATTCAAACCCGGAAGTGAAAAAGCCAGCAGGTACAGGTGGTCAACGAGACGAAGACTAAGAACCTGCAAGATTAAAATGGCGCCCCACTGGCGCTAAATCACAAGTTACACTTGTTGTTATTTATCTCTTTTATAATTGCTTTCTCGAGAGATTGGATCGAGACAGTACCTCTTTGTTTTGTCTCTGTCAAGACCATAATGAAGCTATGACGTTATGGCGAAAAGGTAGGATTTCAAACTTATATTTACGAATCAGGTCATTACAAATTAGTTTCATTTCAAAAATAAGTGTCTTCAAAATTATTTTAGAAATAGAAAGAGTCGCATGAAGAGACGGAGACAACTAGAGAGTGCTTATATATTCAATTTACAGCAGTTAAAAAGGAGCTATCATGATACATATATTCAAACGATTCATTTGAGAAATTCAGAGTGGCAGTTGTTTCTAACCCTCCATGTATCAAAGCATAAACATGTCTTCGAGTCTTGGGAATTCAGAGTTGATTCAACATTTTTGTGGTAATCAACTCATTCGGAAAACGCAATGTAAAATACACAAAAAGCTACGCGTATAGCACAGACAACTGACAACTTTCAAACACAACTGGTGGCAAACCAGCTGACAGACAGGGTATTAAAATTGTAAAGATATGATCATAGTTGTCGTCTGGTTTCTGCATTCGGATCTCAGCGCGAGTTTTCGACATGGGATGAATTTTAATTAGCTGTATGATATTTTTGGGATTTGTTATGCGACGACGAGCGTCTTTGGGAACATCTTCCCTACGGTAAGGCTTTGGTAAGGCCCATAAGGCATGCTGAGTAATTAATTTTTGACATAGATGTGGATTCTTCGCAGTCTCCCACGAGCAATTATCGTGGATCTTAAATTTTATTGCCTCGTGTGTGTCTTTTACGCTAAAAAGAAATGAGTCTGCTTTTTCAGTTTCGTTCAAATTTAGGACAACGGATTCATTTTGATACCATATATAATTAGTAATCAATAATCCAAACAATTTCTCAGTAAGCGAGACGAGCCAAAAAATGTTATCTAAACTAGGAGTCTACGAATGGGTGAAAAATCTTTGTGAATTTGAAGAAGTCTAAATGCATTAGAAACTAAATAAAAACGAAAAAACAGCAGCGACAACAGTTTATTATTGATTGCAAAAATACCTTTGAATTAAGACGTCTTTTTGATGCAGCAGGTATATAAACTGCTTTCATTCCTAGTGAGAAAAATCTGCTAGAATGGACAACACTCCAAACCAGATAGTAGCAGTGTTTTGCTTGTTCTTTATTTGTGGAAATCTCATTCTGGGACAAGACCCTTACGTGTATTTTGAGAAGAACTGGTGCCGAGAACGCACCCTTCGAACTGATTGGCGGACCTACACTCACTCGTGTCCAAGCTACTCGCGACATTGGGCTTATGAAATTTGGCCAGACGACTTCAAGACTCATCCGAACCTGAGTTTTATTTCAGGGGCGGAAATCAATCCTGCAGGACGTTTCAGCAAAGTATATTTACAGTCTGTGACAGTTCTGAACCGTATAAAGACGTTCGGTGGAGATGCGTGGCGCGTTAGAGTTCAGGGCCCCGCAAATCTTGTCGCTACCGTTAGCGATATGGAAAATGGTACATACGAGGCCAAGTTTTTACCCATGGAGCCTGGGACCTACTCCTTACAGATAATGTTAGACTATACCCTCTGTCACGGGCTTAAAAACCCGCCTCCTGATTGGTTTATGAGAGGTTTGACCATGTTTCTTGCATTTCGCGAGACCGATAATTATATAACCTTTTCATTATTGTGGAGGTTCGTAATGCATATTGCTTATTTTCTTGATTCTCCGAGAAATTAAGGTATCTTAAATAAGTTCGTGTTAGTTATACGCCAAAATTTTTAGCGTTAATTGAATGGTTATCCGCGTATTCAGTTACCACTACAAAACACTTTGGTGAAGGAGTGGAACCGATGTCCAAAATCAGGGATCCTAGGCCAGCTCGTACCTGATACAGTACCTCATTAAATAAGATTTTCGTGAATTTTAAATCTCGTAAACTTCGTGATTTTGGGGAAAAATTGCAAAAATGTAAACCTCTCATAATATTGTCGCTGTTAACGTTTCACAGTCGCAATTGACGTCACTGAGCTTTAAAACAAATCAAGCACAAGTTAACATTTTCTAGAAACAAATTTAATATTGTTGTGATGAATTTTGCAGGCTGTCGACACGGATCGTTTCAAAGACCAGAAACACTAACGACATCAGACGACTACATCAATACACCGCTTTATTATGGAGCATATTTCACGGTCCAAGTTCCTCCTACCGTGCAAAAAGATGCCCAGTGTGAGTGATTGAGTTTCCCCGCAGTTCTACCTTTTGTCTTGTAGCGCAAATGAAAATGCAGGAGTATCTGAACTGTCTCAGCCCCCCCCCCAAAAAAAAACTCAATTTATCGACGATGTAGTACAAATAATATGAAGTCGTTTATTGAGTGGTTCTCCTTAATAATACCATGTTATAAATTTGAAAGTTTTTCTTTTTTCCAATAGACTTAGATTCTCTGTTTAGCAGCAGTACCCAATGGTGTAATGAGGGATGCACCCTTCTTGCGGACGGTTTTGGAAGATGGGTGAACAACAACTGGTCGCCCTATAAAACCTGTACGTTGACAAGCTTGTGTTTGAGTTGCCTACGCACAAAACAATTCATTTTGCATGAAATATGATCACAGCCTTGAAGGTCTTTCTTTCGCTCCTAAATGAATCGTGTAGATAAAGTAAGGTAAAGTAAGCTGATGAATCAAAAGGCCCATCTTGTCAGAGCTCACCGGTTTCTGTATGATGAAGGGGCCAGGAATATTGCTCCTCCCTTTCTATCCCCCGGACGAAGAACTCGTCCAATGAAAGGTTACCCTCCTCTCCCCCCAGCATTTTGTCAGGCTTCCTTGATGGTATTCCCCTTTTTCCTTGGAGGTGAGTGGCGCCTTGAAAGTAACGCAATCTGCCAAAAAAAAAAAAAAAAGGAATGACCAGCCGGTTCAAGCCAGCGATTGTGACCCCCAGTCCCGCACGAAAAATCCTCTTGATTAACGAGTTTTTCTAGATATTTAAAACAATAGGTAATACACTCCATCTTAGCCCAAGCTGTACCTAACATTATTCATCCCAATGACCTCCTTCTATAGTTATACATTTACTATATTTCCAAATAAAAGTTGTTCCTTTCTGGATTTCACCCATAAATAGCAACCAATCAGAGGATTAGAAATATTTCCGTATTGTACGTCATATCACGTCATCATTTTAGGAACGTGTTGTATTTTCTTTTTCCAGCTGACTCCAGTGACCCGAGGTCAGGGCACAGGCAGGGATCTGGTGTCTTATGGATTTACGGCGACTCGCACAATCGACGGTTTCACGAATCAGTGCAAAACCGACAGCTGTGTTCTCGTGTATTCCGAGCTTGTTATCATACCAATGTATGGGTCTACTGGCTGGGAACAGTGAGCTCAAACGAGGTGGATCTTTGGTAATGGAGGTATTCAATCTCGTACTCAAACCTCTTTCCTCCTTCAGACACTAGTAAGGGCTGGGCGAGAGCTTAAACAGCGCCGGATATTCTAGAGTTTTTTCGGGAGATTGCAGGCCATAGCAAGTTCAGCTTAGTAACACTTTTCTTTACATATAGGAATAATACTACATTCTAAATCTAAATCTAATCTAAATATCGTTATAGAAAAATTGTTTCATCTTTAAATATCGTTATGTCGGCAAAATCGTTTAGGACATCACGCCAGCTCTAATCCTTCAAATGTTCAAAATGTTGCAATCTTCAAATGTTCAAAATCCTAACAGACATCATCTAATTCATACGCCACCCTCCCAATCCCTGGCCCCTGTACCACTTCCACTGTTACATTTACAACAAAAGTAATAGATCTCAAACTCATTCTAAATATAGTCAGCTGATAATAAATGGATCTGATTAAGAATCAGATCCAGTGAGCCAATAAGAAATCGATATAGATACACGTGGCAAGGAAAGAGCCCGCGAAAACGCGTGTGACCAAGCGGTGATTGGCTTTAGATTTTACTTTGTAGCTTTGATCGGTTGAGTAAGAAATGAGCTGGCGTGGTTGTCTTCTATTGGTCTTTAGATGAATTAACACCACGAAAGACACGACGGGAATGGACGTGCTGTCCTCGGAAATGACTACTGATAATCAAGGATAATTTGAGGTGAAGTGACAGCTTGTTTTTGTTTCTGTTTTTTTTTTTTTTTTAGTTACGGAGGTCATGACCTCAATGTTACACAAGTCCTGGAAGAATTGCGCTCAGTTGTAACACAGCCATTAATGGATGAAGATAGCGCCTTGGTACTCAACACAGGAGTCCACCTCTTAAAAAGCACGAGCTTTAGAAATTATCAGAAGATAATTAAAGGTTTCATTCGTCTTTTAAGACAGAATTATCTCGGGAGGGTTGTTTGGAAGACAACACCCTCCCTCGGGAAACAGACAGAGCTGTACACAGGTTGTTGTCGACGCTTTCATACTGAGCAGGTAAAGAATCTGTGCTCTCATAACCTCTTTATATCAAGGGGAAACTGCTTAAACTGATGTTCATTGACTTCAAGTTTAGCAAAATGGAAATAGAAGTTAGTGATTACTTGAACATTATGTAAAATTCGGTCTTTAAGTTTTCTATTGCTGATTTTCAGTCAGATGAAACGGGTTTAACTAAACGTGTTCTGCTAGTGTGAATGGGTCATTAGACTGATTATGTTGAAGGTATCCTCTGTTTCCCCGATGCAATGGCGACGGAGCGCGGAACGAAAAAAACACCCTTGTTCAAAATTCAAGACATCTGTGATACTTTAATTATCACACTGTTACCTCTAAAATGTCGCAGTGAAATTTGTATAATTCACGATGCCGAATTATAATTTGATGCCCAAATTATAATCCTCTTGTTCTTGCCCGTGCCAAGTCCCATCTCGTACAAATCTCTTGCTGTTTTCAACCGCCGAACCCGCATCGAAAGCAAAACGATTTATATTTACAGGCATTGCATTATAGGCTACGTTGCCACCTTGTTTTGTTTTGTTTTTTCTGGTATACTTTTGTGTGTTCCTTTTTTTTTTTTGTTTTCTTTTTCGATAGTTAGATTCTAAAACTCTGAAACTGAATTTTTACAGCGAATTAAGCTGTTCAACGCTTACGCCATGAAGAAAATGTGTGAAGCTGGTATCCCTATCTTGGATGTCTATCAGATGAGCGCAGCATACCCAGGAGGCACTATTGACGGTGTTCACTTTCCACCATTTGTATTCTACCCAGCAGAAGATGCCTTAGAGAGATACTTTATGAGATGATGTTACTCCATCAGCTTTAGCTCACCATAGCGATAGTTCCCCCTTTATATTCTTTTGGTGACGACTGATCCCCCCTCCGTTCACTGACATCATCCCCTCCCCCACCCCCCTGGTGATAATAATTATAAGTTCTAAGTGCGTCATTTTTCCTCTTTGAATTATTTACTGTTCTTGAGTAAGCGATAAATCTGTTGCATATGAACTCACTAAAAGAAAAGGAAATACAGCCATAGTCTTCGGAGAGTCAAATTATTCCCAGAAAGGAAGATCAAGTAGTGTTCGATCCTCAGGTTACGGGGAGTTTACTCCACAGCCGGGAGAGGGCCAGGATTTCGCTCGTTGATGGCAAGATCCCTGTTTTGTGGTTCTGCAACGGCAGGAACAACTCTCACAATAGAACAGCGTATTATTTTCTTCATCTTGTCCCGGAAGGTATGGTTCAACAGCGCGTACATGAATGGATTGGCCGCAGAATTGAATAGAACCATTACGTTAGCGGTCACAACAGGACTCAGTTGATAGGAGGTAAAATATTTCAAGGTGTAAAGTACTTGAATCGTTCCCCAGCATATTGCAAAGATGACCGTGACTGCGACAACCATCAGGGTGACTCGCTTACGGACTCTCAGCACACCCTGTTTTTTGATAAATACGAGATTTATTTAATAAAGATAGATTAACAAACTAACATGCAACCTCTCTAACCTTGTCTATAAATAACGGAGTCGATCTTACCACCGGCTCACAATGTGTATTACTTTCCTGTTAACAAGGTAATGGATCATAAGGTCGGAAAAAATCTTCGTTCCAGCAACAGATTTATTGTCTACGAAGAATGAGGCGCAATTTCAGACTGGTTTGAACTCTCACAGCGATAAGAACAATCAGGGTTCAGTCTCCCAATTGTTGAGGCGAAGTGTCTCATAACTTGAACAGTGGCTGGTCATTGAGCCTAGTTATCAGTTTTAGCCACATAAAATGCACAATAGAAAAATTTGGGCCATTCGTTATGGCTAGAACTTGCCTGAGTAATTAATCGTGTTTCGATAATGACTGAAATGAACTATCTATTTACTCTTCACCAATAGCCACTATTATGCCTTATTATGATTAATGTCCTGTACATGTAATAAAAGTAGGAGTTTTCAAAGCTGTTGTGAAATGTTTCTATTCGATAGTCTCAAGATCTATGACAAAATTAAGGGACTGTGTGGATTTTCCATGAGATATTCGTCTTTGAATTTCATAGAATCATCGTTAGACATTTATTTAATCTTCTCTCATACTCTTACTTTTTGATGATTTGTGATCGCCTGAACACGAACGCTGATCTGTGGCCTCACCCATAAGGTGTACAGGACTCTTGAGTACAGCACGAACATCAACGACATCGGGCCAAAGACAACAACGACATTGAGATACATGTTATAAGCCTTGTACATCCAATCCTTGGGAAAATTACTCGTGCAATCACCCTTTTCGCAGGCTCAGTTTGGCGCCTACGAATATTGGGATGTTGCTGATTGATGCGTAGGTCCAAGCCGCAATTATTATCACCTAGACACATTAAAAACGGTTCATATTAGTGAATCCGAAGACATATCGAAACACAATATTTTTGTTGTTGCAAATTTTTATGGGGACATACCTTCACTTTGCGGATTGTGAGTCTCCGTCTGTTGCCGATTGTTTCCAAAACTGCGAAATATCGTTCGAAAGAAATTGCAACCAGGGTAAAAATCGAGCAAACTGCTGCAACCCAACCGAAAGTTGCCCCTGTAATCAGTCTGCATAAAACTGTACCCGTCAGGCCACGCGGGTGAGTCAGGTTGAGAGTCACAATAAATTTGAGTGAGAGAAACACTGCAAAGAGAGCATCTGCCACAGCCAGGTTGAAAATGAGCAAGTTAACCGGAGTCCTGTAATTTTAGAAAAGGGTGCACTATAACTGAGTTAGGCAACAAGTTTAGAAGCCGAAACATCTTTAAAGTTGAGCACCATTTGGCAAAATTCAAACCATCACCAATCACCAAAATCTCTCAGAATTTAATTGTCATGATCTCTATTGATGATATTGATAGAGTGTACAATTTTTTTTTAGTTTAAAGCGGCCTGGCTTTAAATTACGAAGAAAATAACGATAAATATTGAGATATTTATACCATTTTGCCATGTGGTGACATCTTGTGCCTTCAACCTTTAATTGTGTGTTGACTGTAAGTCAACCAGAGATACACATCTGGTACTGGGTAAAGTTTAAAAATCCAGACGCACACTCTTTTTGTTGGAGGAATGATCTTTCTCATTTTAGCGTATAAGCATGAATACTGCAGTTTTTCGAACTTGTACCTCATAGTCCGATGTTTCAATATCAACGCACAGACGAGAGAATTTCCCAAGATATTCACAGCCACAAGTAGAAACAGAATTGTTGTTATGGTTACTTCAAGTGACATCCTAGAGGGCTGTAGACAATAAAACCTGTCTCTGTGTTCAGGGAAAATGAACAAATTAATAAATAAATATAAGAATCGTATGATATGTTAAACCATCAAATGAGGTATACATATATTGTACTCGGCCAGGGATATTGCATTAAGTCAAGCTATTACAATAACTGCTGTTCATCTCTTCGCGATTATTTGATCTTCAATGTTTCCTTTGCCCACCAATTGATCAATATTCGCTGTAGTTTCTTTGAAGTTTTCCCCCTGATTACGCTAGGTATAGTACAATGATATATATTCAAATCGTTTGCGATTCTGTCCGATTAATATAAAAGCTTGAATATAGAGCTTGTTGCTGGAGAACAGAACAGCCAAACTGTCGTTGCTTTTTTGTTGTTGTAGTCAGTTCTTGATAACCGCAACCTTAGCTGAGTCGATCCTCTCGCAAACTCGAATCAAAATGCAACTTCGCCTCACAGAAACATGCATTGCAGACCTCTAGATAACTAGAATATCCCACTGGTTCGAACTAAGTGGCTTTCACTTTATTAGCATGAACGAGATTTGCAAAATTGGGGAAACACTGCCGGAATAACTTACCTAAATGAAATCGGCTGCTGTTTTAACATCCGAACTTGCTCTACTTAGCTTAACCGCGTGCCACACAATATCGATATACATTGGCTTCACACCAGAAGCTACGTCAATTCCAAGTAAAGCACTTGACTCAAGTGCATTTGAAGATCTCAATTCTTGCTGACTATGTTTTACTCACAGAGTTTTTATGTGTTCTGTCCTTTGATCTGAATCGTGCCACCGCCACACATCGCTTTCACTTAGCTTTCTTTTCCTCTTAGCAAAGTGTCCTCTCACTCAACCAAGGTGTATTTCAGACTCTCAGCAGCGAACTTCGACTTCATTGAACTGCAACTTATCCCCTAGCTGGTAGTGTTCGTGGGTAAAATGAGGTGAATCCTGTAATCTGATCGGCCACTCGAGCGGGAAAAATGGGCCCATCTTGCTCGCTCGGGAATTGCCTGCTTTCTGCGCAATTAAAAAATGTTGTGAAGCAGACTTAAGACTTCCTACTTTTTGACAATATTATTAATGTCGGCGATGAAGTCGCAAATAGTGTCAGAAGACAGTCTAACAAAGAAAACATAAACTACTTTCGCGGGGCTATTGTAGCATAAACTGACAGTTGACTCTCAAAACATATCAAGTCCTTCTTGCAAAATATAGCAAAACCTTTTTTCTTTATAAAATGAATCCTGTATTTTCCAAACTCGTTCGGTTAGGATGGCTAGATATTAGCCTTACGGTTTTTTTTCTCTATAATTTTTCTGTTCCATAAAAACGCAAAAAAAAACTCGGTTAATATCCAGCCATATTGACCAATGAGCTTGGTCAATGTAATAACGCATACATCACGAACGGAAATGCATGAGAGTGCAACTTTTAGAGGCAACTTTAGCTAATGTGCCCTGTCAAATTTGTGAAGTATATCATAGAATGTGAAGCATCAAAGAGTGAGAGGAGATGAGAAATCAAATTCCTCTCATTAAGAAGCACTCAGAAAAACTTTTAAAAGTAGATAGTACTTTAATTTTAAACCATCAGCATTCAGTTCATTCATATCTTTATCGAGATACGAAGCACTTGAAAAGTTATGAGTGAGTTGCATCAGTAAAACACTCTTTTAAGTCGTGAACTGAACTTTGAATGCTACCACAAGGTAAAAAAAGGAAATTTGGTTTTGTAATCCAGGCAGAAATTATAAATTACTCACTAATTTTTTTCTAACTTCCCCAAATGAACGATTGGCACAATAAGACGTATACCATATAAGTGGCGAAAGGTAACGAGCCGCCACTGATATTAATGTGACATCGCTGACATCTGGACAAGCAACGGACAAAACAGCATCTTGATTTGCAGGCACGGTTAAAATGCTGCGTTCAAACAGAAGCGGCAACCCTTTTTGTCTTTGTTGGTGGCACAGGTCTCCTTCAGTAGCGAGTTGACAAATTAAGGTCGAACATGAATAAACNGGGCCTTCGTCTAGAACTCAAGAGACAGTACCCGAGTTTTAATATCATTCAGTACAACATAATCATTGATATCCTGGGAGGGTACTTGAAAGACCTCAAGAAGAGCGTCAGGGAGCTTGTTGGATCAGAAAGGAGTACAGCAGTGTTAGGTAGAATGCAGAAGTCTGTAGTCAGCAGTTCACTCAAGATTGCAAGATCTTTGAAAGTCATGAGTTAAAGAGCTTCATCTTAACCATGTCTTATTTTGTTGAGTTTTAAAGACATTAGGGACTAGCCACTAGGAATTTTTTTTTTTTTAGAATTTTCTTTTTTTTCATCATTTTGTATAAGTTTTCTTTTTTTTTTTTTTTTGGGGGGGGGGGGGGGGTACATATTCCCTTGATGCCTTAATCTTTTTGGATTTTTTACGTTGTTCCCCATCAATAAAACCCTTTGTTCCCAAAAATGTCTTTAGCTCATGTTTCCTTGATCCCGAAAATTTTTGCGCTGTTCCCTTGATCCCCAAAAATGTTTGTCATTGTTCCCCAAATTTTTTTTTTATATCTTAAGGGCTCGGAAAGTTAGAAAATATATATTACTAAAAGTAGATAGGCGTTCTCTTGTTCCCAAAAATCTACTCAAGAGTTCCCTTGTTGCCTGAAAATAATTTGAAAATATCCCTGTACCTTAAAAAAATAAATGTTCCAGTTACCTCGTTCCGTAAAACCCCTGGGAGGGGCTCAAATGTGTCATTCTGATGACACCAATTATTTCCAGAACGGTTTTGCTTCTGGTATCGTTCGAAAAATAAAAGGATTTTGGGCGC